CGTGTGTTATGAATAAATCTTCTTTTTTTGGTACCAGTACTAGTTTTATTTTGTTGTATTTATCCGCGACACCTTAAAGGACGGTCGATGAAAATATTGTCGAGCATAAACCGGTCCGTGGCGCAAAAAAGGTTGGGGACCGCTGCCCTAGCATGAGTAGTGGTCAAAAAATCTTTGAAATGCAAAAGTCGTCAATCTGACCTGGGTCATGGAGAAGGCCCTAGCATGGGTAGTTGTAAGAAAAAAAAAAAAATGGTATACTGGGGACAAACCGAGCCAATTCCACTATACCTGGTGCGCGAGGAAAAATTATAAATATGCTTTTTGTGCCGTGTGATTTTTCTAATGTGAAATATATGCCAAGGCTCCAAATGGTTGGAAAACAATGAAGTAGTCTGCGTACATGGAGTGGACATGGTATGGGTGTCTGTTCACAATGATTAAGTGACTAAATTAGTCATCAGTCAAAGACACTTGGATTTAATTTCTTTATTACAATAAATAGGCTAATTTTTCTTATTTTGTAAGAGACAATCAGAGCAGACTATTATCATATATGGAAACAAGGTCAGCTGTCTACAGTTATTGCTGAATAACAACTATGAGTTTTGACCTTGGAGAAAACATCACTGTTTCAGCCATTTTTGCCAGCTTCATGAGAACCAGTCTTAATCTCAAAACCAGAATTTTTGAGATTAAGGACACTTTTTAAGAAGAAGACATATGATCCAGTTTTCTCTTTTACAATGTTTGAATGTCTGACTATTGGGTTATTTGAATTTTTATTAATTTTAATAAAAAAGGCTAAGAATTAAAAACTGTTTGGGTGTGCATTACTCACATGTGGTTTCCTGGTTTGTAACAGGTTCACTGGCCTCCTCGCCGAACATGGCATAAACAGTGACGGTGTATTCGGTTTGAGGGATCAACCCATCCAGCTCCAGCTCCGTCACTGCATCTGACACCCTTATCTAGGGACAAAAAGAAACTTCAGGATTTAAAACAAAACTTTGGATGTCATGTTAGCAAATTCCAGGTTTACAACTTTGAACTAAATAAACAATTCATCCTCCTCTTATTTTGTTATTTTTGTTGCTACCTCTTTCTCATCCAAGTCATCTGTCAGAGGTGCATAAAGCAGCATGTAGCCAGAGACTCCATCCACACTGTTCCATTTTATTTTCATGGTGTTGTGACTCACATCAAACAGCTGGAGGCCGGTGACTGTGGGAAGAGCCACTACATGCATACACACACAGCATACACACACACATCGCGACCGCACACAGCAAAAAACAAAATAACATGGCAATAAAGGAGGAATCACATGAATGGATTTTTGTAATAACTATAAACATCAGGGTATACCGCTTAAGGTGGATTTGACCGTTAGGCATAAAATTCTTTATTGCTGTATTAGTTACTGCTGTGCAAAGTATTGAGCCAACCATATATTTTTAATATATATTAATATATTTATCCAAGCTTTCAAGCTTCCTTCTTTAAGACATCTTCAAGTTCTCTCCAGGCGTCTCGAAGGACATTCAAAGCTCTTCTTTCCATCTGTCAGAGGTATTTAAATGATGTTGTATGTCCCTCTGACAGATTATTATTATCTGACGAGATGTTCAAATACTGCTTCAACAATGTTGACGTCTGGGCTCTGGGGAGGCCAATCCATGACAGCTAGTACTCCACTGTGGAGTATATATAAGTATACAGTAGCATTTTACAATAATGTCACACTATTAAGCTTTATTAATGTTATTAGTAAGATATTAGCAAGTTCTTAATTCATCATTCATATGGAATGATGATATGATATATAAATGATGAATTAAGAACTTGCTAAAGCTTTACTAATACCTTAATCATGTGATATTATTATGAAGTCCTTACAAGCATATTGTTTTACTGCGTTGACAGTGTGTTTGGGATCATTGTCATGTGGGAAAATGAAGCCTTTGCCAACCAGTCTGTCCAGATTTCATGGTGAACAAAAATCTGACTGTGGATTTCTGCAATTGTATCAGTTTTGACAAGATCTCCAACATCGCTGTGAAAAAGCAACCAATGAGCGAAATGCATCTCTAAGGTCCTGTGTCGGGTCTTTGCTGGACATTTTCCTTTTTCGTACTCACATGAACTTCAGATACTTTTCATCTGCTTTACTTTCTTTCTATAGTTTTAGATAGAAAGATAGAAAAACTTTGAAAGACCTACAGAGAGCCTGGAGAATTGTTGAACCCTTTTTAAAAAATGATAGGAAAACTCCTTGGAAGCAGAATATAAAGAAATAGCTCAAGACGTTTGCACAGCACTGTAAGTGCATTTTCAATATGTCTGGCTTCTGCAGCTGTAACTTTTTAAGCCATTGTTATTAAATTGTGTTCTGAGTGTGGAGCCTTATAAGCACACTTATACATGTGTGTTTGCAAGAATAAACTTACGCGTTGTTTCTGATCCTCTCAGAGCTGCACTCGCCTTGTTTGCATACACAGCAAACACAGCCAGTTGGTACTCAGTGAGGGAGCTAAGATGCTGTAACACCACTGAAGACTCACTCCCGACCACTACAGCCTGCAGGGGTGCAGGAGGGTCAGTCGGGGAAGTAAGAGAATATGAAAGATGGAAAAGGAGGTGTGAAGAGTTGGAGGGGATAGAATGGCATGAAAAATGGTAATTGAGGCAATAAATAGGGAGACATAAAAATGAAAAACAGAAGTGAGGAAAGCGAGAGAAAACCAGGAAAGAAAGGAGAGATTGGAAGAGAATGGGAAAGGAAGAAGGAAACAATCGATTTATTGAATGGGATAAAGCACAAACATTTAAAGCTTGAATAATATTTTTCTTTTTCATTCTGAACTAAAAGGATGACAGTTGTGATAAAGATTAGGCCCACGGTGAGCCAGCTGGAAAGGTCTCTTTACATGAGGCTCCAGAACATCTGGTCTCTGTAAACCCAGCTAAGTGAAAGATTTAATGGCTTCTGTGGTCAAATGTTCTGGAAAAATCAAGCAGGTGCCTGGTTCAAGCAACAGTATCATTTCTAGTGAGCCGTCATAACCTGCAAAGATATTCTGGGGAGAAGTGAATAGAGAGATGAAAGTGAGAGGTATGGATGGGCGATAGCACTGACGTCTCGAGGAAAAACTGATCTCAAACTATAAACCTGCCCGATCCTTGATAACTCCCCCTGGTGTCATAAATATTATGGAAAAGTACATTTTGCACACCTCACACTCCTCCTACTGACTGTAGTATTTTTTAGCTGCTGCTTATCCTTCAGCACATCTGTATGCAAAGCTGAACAGAGTGAGAGAGTCATGTCCATGGAATAAAATGGATATTTCTTGATTTTATGTTGTGTTAAATATATCACAACATAAAATATGTTGACTTCCTCAGCTCTGGCTGGTTTGATGTGTGGTTTTCAGCAAATAATACACTATTTACCTCCTGTGGATCTCCTGGGTCTCTTCCGTGAGTGGGATAATAAACAACTCTGTATTTCTCTACATTTCCGGGGGCATGGCTCCATGAAACCCGAAAGCTTTGGGCCGTGATGTCTGATGTCACTAGGTCAAGCGGCATTCCCGTTGTCTCTGGTATATGTTCTGAAAGACAAAAATGTAAGGACAGGCCAACAGGCTGCCTCAGATTGGATATAACTTTCAAGTGCAAATCCCATTAAGTCAGATCAAACGAACATTCGATCTGACTTAATGGTGTCCTGTTAAACAGTTCCTATAGGCCATCAAACTTTTTTTTTTATTTTTTACATACACAAGTTTGATTCATAGTAAACAAATTGACTTTGTAACTACCGTTAGACTTTAACTCTAACTTTTTATCATTTGGTCATTTATTGATACACAACTAGTCAAAGGGATCACTCAGGATACTATTTGTTTAACAACTCCTTTCCTTTATGCTTTACTCCTCATGACACGGAGTTCCTACAAGTATTCTTGTTTGCATGTTAGTAAAGTTTTCCAATTTGCTCTTACTCTGCTTGATGTCTTTGTCCTGCTGCTCCACCTGTTTGCACACTGTTTTTGTTAGCCCCCCTACAATAGAGCTCATGATGTTAAAGTCAGCCACATTGTAGACGTGATTGCTCTCCGGTTGTGAGGCGATGGAGCGCAGCTCATTCTCGTCGGCATTCTTTACACCTGGAAAAATACATAGGAATGATTGGCACATACATGAAAGTTAACATCTAGGACACAACGTGATATATCTTTTTCAGTTGTTGTCAAAAAAAGCAAAAGCAAACCCCTCCCCAAAACACTCACATGAGTACTGTTATCCACATGAATACACAAAAAAGAATGGCACGACAAACCAACAGATGCCAATTCAACGCTAAATCTATAAAAAGGTTGCCCAATAATTAGAAGCCTTGATGGAAAATGTGCAAAAATATGAAAAAGTGAGTCTTGCATTCGGACAGATAATGAGGCTGAAGTATGCCTCAATGTTGCATTGGATTATAAAATTACAAAAAAACAAGGAAACGTTTAACTGGGAGATTTGTCAGGGGAAACGCTCGAGTCTCTCTTGTCCTTTCTCTATAGTGATGATGAAATGAAACAAAAATTTCAGATTCAGCAACTTTTAGTTCAAATCTTGAGTAATTTGTCATAACTGTGCCTTTTATCCCTGTTTCCCTTCCTTAGTAATGACTTTTTGACAGCCACCCTTTCAAAGGGACCATTAATGATGAGGTTTCAGTGAACACTAGATGGATCTGTTGAAGGGCTGTCTTTTTTC